CCAGCCCAGGACTAAACCACGACACCTTCCCAAACCAAACCCCTCAGAGGCAAGGAGATGGTGACAACAGCTCCTACAAGGCTTGGGAGCGGTGACAACCCATCCTGCCTGGCAGATGGGACCATCACTGAGGGCAGTGTGGGATCCCCGGCACAAGGTTGGTCGCTCTGGGGCCAGCATCGACCACCTCGGAGGTGGAGACAACAGCGCAGACTCACATTGTTCATCCTGTCCACGGTCGTGCTGAGGAGGAAGATGTTGTCGCTGATTCTCTGGACTCTGTCACTGGCGACGTCATCAGCATCTGGCGGCTGCTTTTTGGGATGCTGGAAGAGAGGGAAAGTGCAGGTCAGGATGGATTGACTTGGCCAAACCACTGACCTGGAATCTTGAACCCAAAATCCTCCTGGTTCACAGCCCAGCTTATAGCGACCTTCCAGGACCTTATAGCGACATTCCAGGACCTGAAAGGTGCCTATAAAAAAGCCGGGGAAGAGCTGTTCACCAGGGCATGGAGCAATAGGATGAGGAGTAATGGTTTTAGACCAGAAAAGGGCAAATTTAGGTTGGATATGAGGAAAAAGCTCTTCCCCATGAGGTGGCAGATCACTGATGGCCCAGAGGTGGTGCAGGCCTCACCCCTGGGGATACTCAAGGTATTGATGGAGTCTGAGCACCCTGATCTGGTTCAAGATGTCCCTGTTCACTGCTTTACAGGTCCCTTCCCACCCAAACCACGCTGTGATCCTGTGATTCGATGATCTCCAGCTTGATGCTCTGCTACCTGTGGAGCTCAGAGGCGCTCCAGGGCTCCCACTGCCTAAACCATCGTCCCAGCTCTTCCTCAAAGGGGACAGGGATAAGCCCAAGAGTGGTTTTAGTTGTGCCCATGTGTCTGCAGCCCAGCTGGATGAGTGGGGCTGGAGGCAGCCAAGAGAGCTGCCCCCACCGAGAGGGCACCGACCTGACCCAGCCTAGCTACAGGGTGTTTGAGGCGGTGGGGACAGCAAGGGGGATGTCCTGAGGGTGCTGTGGCAGCACCAGTGATGCCAACAAAATGGCCGCCGTGCTGCCCTCAGGGCCAGATCTGGTTATGGCTGGGCCCAACCGAGCGATTGTGGGGTTAATTGGGCTAATTGAGGTGAATTAATTCAGGCCAG